TACTTGAGCGTATGGCAGACTTTCTCCAAGTGCACAGACTAAAACAAAAGAGGGCCATTGCACAGCTTAATTGTTAAAAACAAAGGACTTTACTTTAAAAAGTATTTGTATTTCATGTATTATCTTACTGCATTTGGCCCGCAGCCATGGATAGATTTTCATTTTGGCCCTCTCGGGGGAAATGTTTGGGCACCTCTGTCTTAGAGTGAATTTTCAGACTTAAGTGCAGAAAATTTCTTAGATTTGCTCCTACTCTCAGACTTAACTGTAAGTGCCAGTTATCAAAATTCTTAAGTCTAAGAATCACTCTGACTCCCCCTAAAAGTTAAGACTGCTCCATTCTAGTTTTTAGCTAAAACTTTTAGCCCATCTTAAAACCTGCTGTGTTCGTCTCCAGAGGTGTCAGCCAGCTTCAAGCCAGGAACGTCCATCAGATACGTCTTCCAGGAGCCCTCTGAGTGGAGCAGGAACAGCAGYGACCTGCCCTCCGTCTTCTCGGACCCAATAAGAGGAGAAAACGTTTCTCTGAGCTTCAGRACGGCTCAGAGTCCAGCTCTGCTGCTACTCGTCAGCTCCCACTACAGAGAGTCCCTGGTCCTGCTCATCAACAGGCACGGTGAGGAAGACCTCGGAGGTTTTTGCCTCTGAAATGACTCATCRAAGTTTTCATCTTCCCGTCTGTCGAGCAGCTGTTTGGTTTCAGTTCTTCTAAGTGTTTTCTGGTCTTATCACCGAGGCACATGCTGCCGACAGGTCGGGTCTGCCCACTGAGACGGCTGAAAACTTGTTTTCRCTCAGATATGATGTCATTTCTGCTTCTCAAAGTCGCACCTTGAATTCAGATTTTCTGCATCCAGACCTGGAGTCTAATAAAAATGACACTTTGCAGCTCGATTAGCCGTAAATGGATTCCCCCCTGCAGTTAATGGCTCAGAGGAAGCTGATAAAAAGCAGGACGTTGAGCTTTTTTTGTGCTGACTTCTTCAAATGAAACACCCAATTAGATCCCCGAGAGCTTAAAATTGTTTGCTCTGAGTGTTTTAGCCCCGACTGCAGATAAACCTCCTCCTGAACCCAAACACAACAGATTTCACTGAACGCCTCCTTATTTTTACAGTAATAACTAACAGCAGGTAGATGGAARCCTTTAAATAAATCATCTTAAAAACAGTAAGATTTATTTTTATTTCAGCTTTAAAAACATCKAATAATTTCCCTTATTTGGAGCTTTTGTTAAGTCTGAACTCAATTAGCTCGACTGCAGAGGAATTAGCTCTGATCCTCCTAATGGAGGAATCTTAATTAATAGAGCACAGAAACATAACCGTGTGTTTGACAGATTAAAAATGTAATCTCACCCTGTTGGCAAAGATTACAAAAACCACAGCGAGATCCTCAAATCCAACAGAAATGGGTTATTTTTGAAGTCTTGTCTGTTTTCTACTGCGCGTGAAGACGAGTTGGAGCTGAGGTACAAGCTGGAYGGCAGCAGACAGGCTGAGGTGTTGAGGAGCGGCGTGAGGGGCGTGGCCAAYGGACAGCTGCACACGGTTAGCGTCAGGAGGACGGCGGACTTCGTGTCCCTGCAGGTGAGTTCAGTTTAATTATTTAAAAGGACATCATGTAAATGTGACACATTTAACTGGTGCTGGGTGGTGTGAACAAAAGTTTATTTCACAGTATTTTTATCAAATATACTGACAGTTTTTAAATTTTCCTTCGACTCGGCAAAGCTTGCTAGGGTTTGTCTTACCAAGAAGAAGTAACTCAAGCACGTCATTAAATAAACTAAACCTCAAGTGTTCTTTTATTATAAATAGGGGTGTAAGAAAATATCGATACACTGAAATATCGCGATATTTCATTTCCCGATACTGTATCGATATTTTAAAGCCCTGTATCGATTTTTTATTAAGGTTTAAAATGTCAAACTTCTTGCCAACCATTCATTTTTATGTTGTAGTTCAGCCTCTGGCCATTAGTTGGCAGCAGTGAGCCAGCCATTTGGCTCCTCTACCTCTTGAGCGCCAGAGAGTAAGGGTAGCATTAGCATTGTAAGTAAACATTAGCCTTTTTTTTTTTCAGTAAGAGGTTTTTATTTAATAGAATTTTTGGACAAAAAAATCGCAATATATCGGGATATATCGTATCGTGACCCCTCAGTTATGATATGTATCGTATCGCCAAATTCTTGCCAATACACAGCCCTAATTATAAATACAAAAGCATTTTACTAACAAGCAGATTATAAAGTACCTGAAAAAAATAATACAGTAAAGTAAAAGTAAAATTACATTACCAAATTTCCCTCTGGGATCAATAAAATATTTTTTGAATTTGAATTTGAATGAACAGAAAAGGACTTTAGTAAAATACATTTCACTGATGAGAAAACTACTCAAGTWAAAGTCACAAAACTGTTTTTGGGAAAGTAAACGTACTTCTACACACTCTCTAAGAAATTAACTGTTGAATTTACTGAACCAAACTGGTTCCACTAAGCCAGGTTGAGTAAATTGAGCGATATATGTATTTTCTTTGCTCAGTTTACTCAACTAGGCTCAGTGGAGCCAGTTGACATGACTTTGTTGAGTAAATTCAACACTTAATTTTTTAGAGCAGAAACATCTTTTATGATGAGTTCAAAAATATTTAATTTTGTAACGAATAACTAGGTGTTAAATTTTAAAGTAAAGAAGTAAAAGTGTATATTTTTAGCTTTAAATGTAATGAAGTAAAAGTAGCTGTTTAAAAAATAGTTGGTAAAATAACAAATCCTCAAAAACACTACTTAAGTACTGTAATGAAGTAAATATACTGAGTTACTATAAACCTCTGCTAACAAGTATACTTCAAGGGATTAAATTAGTTCACTTTATGTTTCTAAAAGTAAACTGAAGTATCCTTAAAGTCATCTTGTATGTGTACTGTTAGTTTACTCRTAATAAACTTCAAGTCTACTTTTAGTTTATCAAAATACTGATTAAAGTTGATAAGATTTTAGTTGCAAAAATGCTTCTTGGAATTTAATTTTATATTGTTGGAAATTCTTCTTATTTGACCTTAAATGGTGACAATTGGATGATTGAAGTCTGAAGAAACTTTATTAGTTTAACAAATAGGGGCCTCAGTATCATGCGGAAGAACCATACGCAGCCCCAACAGCCTGGGACGTCCTCCTCTATTTAAGCTTTTTGTGAGAAGCGCTGAAACAACAAAAACAATCATTTTTCGTGTTAAGTTTATAAACCATTATGTATTTTTGATTTTGTCGAAAAACAAAATGGAAGTTTTTSCACTCGAGTTGCTTTCAGTTTCAGATCCAACCCTTGAAAACAATTAGTTCAGTGGTTCTTAACCTGGGTT